CCTGTGCCCAGGCACCATATTCATGCTAGGACTGTAAAGATAAAAGAAATGGTATTACCTAAAGTGACGTCTTTCTTTCAGATCTCATGAAGGAGACAGACAAATTATTATAATCACAGCATATGTGTGTTATATATGTTGTAAGGATGTAATTATAATACTGTGTCATTCTTGCCATGACTGAGAAGTGAGTAACATGCCACGCAAATACAGGGGAAGAGTAAATCCTAGATTCAGTGATTCAGTGTCCAGGGTGAAGAATATTTCTGAGCTATCCAGGCTAAGCATTAAAAGATGAACAGACAGTAGGGGAGGTGGGGAGCAGTTGTTCCAGACAGAAAGCAGCATAATAAATCGTGTAGGCATCCGAGAGCTTGGTGTTTTTAAGCTGCAGGAAATATGTAGTTAGGGATGACTAGAATGAAGGGTGTACTGAAGACAGTGAGGCAAAGAAGAAATACAGAGACCCTGAGGTGCAGACTCCCCAAAGCAAAGGGGTTTGGACTGAAACCTCAAAGCAATGAAAGATTTGAAGCAAGAGACTAACATAATTATATTTTGCTTTTAATTTTTCTTATCATTGTCAATCTTTCATTTATGTTTTCACTTGACTATAGAAAGGTATAATTACAACTGGGAAAGTTCTTGGATATGTGTGTGTGTGTGCATGTGTAGATTTTCAGCACTTTGAACATCTACCACCTAATCAAAATTCACCATGTTTTTTCCAAAACTTACTTAAAGGAAAATGATACCCTTTGTTTTTAAAAATAAAATGCTTAGCATTTCTGACACATAGTTTAAACTTCCGTTTTAACCACATAAAAGGTAGCTCAGTCCTATATTTAGTTTTTAACAAGTCAGTCACCAGGCCATCTAAGGCAAATCATCTCACCTCTCTAGGACTCACTATCTTAATTTATAGGGAAAGGAGATTAAACCTCAGGTCTCTTAGATGACTGCAGAGAAAATAAATTTTAATAAAGTCCTGCAAGTCTTGCCAATAAAAGATATGAGTTTATTATCTTAAACATGTTACTTTACAATTATTTCTAATCTGTAACTGTAAGTTTATTTATAATTAGATAAACATGATGTTCTGGGCCGGCCCCGTGGCTCACTTGGGAGAGTGCGGCGCTGGTAGCACTGAGGCCGCAGGTTCAGATCCTATATAAGGATGGCCAGTGCGCTCACTGGCTGAGCGTGGTGCGGACCACACTGTGCAGAGGGTTGCGATCCNGCTGAGGCCGCAGGTTCAGATCCTATATAAGAATGGCCAGTGCGCTCACTGGCTGAGCGTGGTGCGGACCACACTGTGCAGAGGGTTGCGATCCCCTTACCGGCCAAAAAGAAAAGAAAAGAAAAAAACATGGTGTTCTACTTAAACAGTAACAATTCCTTTAACTTTTTACCATAAACTCGAAGTAATACTGCATTCTAGTTAAGAGACTGATATCCTTCTGCCATGAAATTCTAATTGTGAGGGTCCGCAACCCATTTTTTAGTTGTAATGTTTCCTTAAATTGTCAAAATAATTTTCTTCTTTTTCTTTTTTTGTTTTTTTCCCTTAGAACCCAATCTTTTTCCTTCCTATCATAATGTATAACAGCAGCAATACATGATAATATATTGTGTGCGTGATCAACTCTTCCACCAGACTACCAATTCCATAATAGCAAGGATGTTGTCTATTTTGTTCACTGCTATATATCCAGCATTTGTCACAATGCCTGGCACATGGTCACTTCTCAATAAATGTTTACTTAATTGTTTTTCAAATCATAAGTGAAATATTAATCAGATCTAAGTAATAGGTACACAGTTTGGCAGGTATTCATGCAAAGATAAATCTGAGTGTAGTCCATGGACACCAGCGGATATCACAAACCCTGTCTTTCAAGGAGAGCCATAGAAAATTCTTTCAAATCTTTAAATTTATTAATTTACGTACCAGTCACTTTCTCTAATTGTAGGCATAAAGTTTTATCTACCTGTTCATCTATTGTATTTATTGCTGTGAACCTTTAAGATAAGCATTTTCTATTCTCTACAAGGTAACCAGCAGCACTGGGATCAGTAAAGGGTTCTTCCGATTCCTATTGTAGTCCTTTTGATTCTACTACCCCATTTCCAAAACATACAGACACTCCACCCTCATACACTGATATATAGATATACTTAAAGAAAGGGTGGTAAGAATGTGCGAAGAACCATGGCTTGAAGGACAAGTGAGTTCAAGCTGAGCGGAAACAAATTGAGATGTAAGGGTGACATTAGACAGGAGCCTACACCGTGCTCCCTCTAAAACACTGAAATATACCTGAAGTCTGTCTAAGTGGTGTGTGGTCTTTCCTACCACAGCTACATTTGATTTGGGGAGAAAATGCAATATATTAGGGGGGAAAAGACAGAATGAAATCAAATGTCAACTAGTTAATCTAGCTCAGGCCCGTAACTTTACTTTCCTTTGGTAACAATTTTACTTGAAGTTTAGTATTGTGGTCTCAGGTTATTCTTTTACTTAGTCTATGTAGACA